TTTTGAATGTGACTATGTGTTATCTCACTTTGAGTATTAAAGCTACACATTTTATTCTATTACTATAACCTAGGTTAAAAACATTGGTGATGAGGACTTTTTTGTATTTTCTTTACATTTTTTATGTCAATATACTTTCGCCATTTATATTATTTTAAACATTATGGTTAACTAATATTAACCATTAACCAAAACCGTTAACTGAAAAAAACTATTAACCATAACTAGTATTAACCATACCCAATGGGTACCAAAATGCATTAACCAATAATAATGGTTATGGTTCGGTATTCACCAATAACCGAACAAAACCACTCCATACACACCCCTACACGCCACCATAAAGCAAATATCCCATCATTGTGTGATGGTTTCTATTTTGCACTCCAATCCATTGAAACCTTTTCTCACCATAGGTCAACTCACCCCAAAAACGGCAACACAATTAATGTGACCCATTTCCATATCCGGATTCCATTATTACCTTTTAACCCGATCCACTCTTTTCCTAAACCTATAAAATCCCATTGAAAACCCTTTTACTCGTTACACTCTCTAAAATCTCATCTTCTTCCTTGTCTCTCAACTGTTCTTTGATCACTCAACCTTTTTCAATAGTGGTATCTTCATCTCCCACCAAAAACACTCAAACTGCTACTAAAATCCCTAAAATTGTTACGAAGAAGAAATCATCCAAGGGTTCATCCTCTTCCATGTCTATAGAACCCTTTCTTAGGGACACCACTCAACATTTCTCTCTGGATCCAAATGACTATGACGAGTCAATTAGAGTGATGATTGAGTTCATTGCTCATCATCCAATCTCTATACCACTCACGAAGGTTCCAGACCCTCCAATCCCTCTTTCTCTACTTCACACAGCATTTGATCACATCAAGATTGAAAATGGCGTTCTTGAAACAAGAATTACTGGATATAGAATTGTGCCTGTTCATAGATCGACATTCTTGAAGGCGATTGGCATTTCAGAAAACCTAGAAAACTTCGAAGTTCAAGAAGCAACGATTGAAGAATTTCAGTCGTTTCTAAAACCATCGGGTATAGTGAAGAGTACAAAGCGAATAAGTTCAAGGAATCGGCTATATCAAGGTTATGGACTATTCTTATGGCCTTCATAGTTAGAAGACTATTGGGCAAACATGGCGGAACTGACTCACCAAGCAAGGATTGCATGTACGTGGTTTATAACATCTTTTCTGGAAAGGCAAATGCAGTTGATATCACTGAAGTGATATGGCAAGACTTTCAGAAGTTTGCCATCAACCACAACCCACATGAGATCTCAAGACCTCTATTTTGGGCTCTTATCATGCGACAACTGTACAGATAACGCCATGAGCCCATTCCTCTCAACATCATTCCGAGAGAGGTATTTTTCACCTTCAAAACTATTAAATCCTATCGTCTTCCGGACCAAAAGTCCTTCAGACATGTTAGGCGTTTACCAAAACACATGATAGCCCTAATTCCATCCGAGTCCATTTATTTGAAACAACACTTAGAGACTTCGATTGTGTATAGCCCTGCACAATCTACCCATGCCTCTGTTGAGCCCATCTCAGACAAGGGCAAGGCAGTTCCATCCGGAGGCAAGAAAAAGAAGTCTGCCAAGCGAAAATCCTCTCCCTCTAAGCCAAAACCCAGAAAGAGGACCCAAGTCGGCTCTTCCTCCCAACAGGAACGAGGCAAAGACATTTTGGCTGACTCTGGCCATCCTTCTACCCCACCTATCCACTCTTTCGAAGTACCTTTTGGAATTTCATTATCACATGCACACACTCACGAGGAGTCTCCTAATCATCCACCCTCACCTTCCTAATAAGGTGATGTCAGTGTTGAACAAATTTCCTTTCCCCCTGGAAGAAACCCGCATTTCACATTTGATATCCCACCTTTTTCTACATACATACGGTCTGGAACCCCTCTTCCAAATCCCAAGCATTCTGAGGATGGAGTTGTCCCTCCTACCTCAGGTGCCCTAACTAGTCTGATACCGGGTAAGGGTACAGGACGACTAGGTGTTAACGATCCACTTACGGAAGATTTTTTTGACAGAGCTCAAACAAGGCATTCAGAGCTCACTAGATCCCAGGTTGAAGGAACGCGCATCTCCATGCAGAATAGGGCCATTCAGAGCAATCTGTCCTTCGTTGTCCCTGCTGATGATGTAGCTGATTTGGAGTTTGCTTCCGGAGAAAATCCCAAAACTCAACTTCATGAAGCCATGCACTCAGACCCTAATGAGGAACATTCGGACGGAGTTATGTTCGATGATGAAGGGTCCTCGATCGCTGCTCCCAAGTTGTTCACATCATTCCCTTTTCCTTCAAAGCCTTCCTCATCAATGCTGGATTTGGACTTCGAACTTTCATCATCCTCTTCGGAACCAATCAACGAAGACATTAATATAGAGGATCACATCCAAGCCACTCCTGAAGGTGAAACTGATTCAACTCCCAAGAACATCAATGCCGATACAACTCATCCTGACTCCTCCGAACATCAAATCAATCAAGAAACTGACAATAACAAGTCCCGGACTTCCACTTCGGACACCGGATCCTCAGCGGGAAATTACATTGATCCATTTTACCTCCTTGAAATTCAAGACTTTGTTTCTGACACGATGAAGAAAGTCAATGTTATAGAAGCTTCTGTGGCTGGACTCAATACTCGACTCAATGTTAAAGTTTCCGGACTGGATTCCAAACTTGATGTCATCCTTAACTCCTTGTCGGAAACCAACAAGTCTGG